CCCTGGCAAGGAGAGAAATGAATAGCAACACAGCCGCCTATACAGAGGGTCAGAATAAGACTCCACATCATCAATTCAGTCTGCAAAGTCCTGGGGAGAAATCACGATCTGGATTTAGAACCCAGAATTGTTGCAGTTTTCTTGAACTTGTTTTTGCCTAATGGACCCTGGATTGTGTCACTCATGAGAGATTCTTTTTTCTCATTTGCTGAAAAAGTTGAACATTGCATGGATGTTCAAGAAGGGTGGGAGTAGGAAATGATGAAAATGCTTTTCAGTCTCTGACCAGCCTCCTTTACTCTCCACTACTATTTTCCTTGCTCCTTTTCCCTCATTTTTTTTAATTGTGGCAAAATGCACATAATATAAAATTTACCATCTTGACCATTTTTTAGTGTACAGCAGTATTAAGTTCAGGACTTCCCTGGTAGCTCAGAAGGTAAACAGTCTGCCTGCAACGCGGGAGAACTGGGTTTGATACCTGGGTCAGGAAGATCCCCTGGAGAAGGAAATGGCAACCCACTCCAATGTTCTTGCCCGAAAAATCCCATGGAGAGAGGAGCCTTGCAGGCTGCAGTCCATGGGATTGCAAAGAGTTGGACACAACTGAGTGACTTCACTTTCAGTATTAAGTTCAGTAGTATGAAGACATTTGCATTATGCAGTCATCACCACAATACTCTAGAATTCTTTTCATGTTGCAAAACTGAAACTCTGCTCCCACTAAATAATAACTCCCTAGTCCCTCAGGCCCTCTGGCAACTGCCATTCTTTCTGTCCCCATGCATTTGATGACTCATATCTCATGTAAGTAGAGTCACACAATTGCCCCCCACTTTTTTAGATTTTTTTTTTTATGTGGTTCATTTTTAAAGTCTTTCTTGAACATGTTACAATTATGCTTCTGTTTTATGTTTTGGTTTTTTGGTCGCAAGGCACATGGGGCCTTAGCTCCCCAACCAGAGATGGAATCTGCACCCCCCACATTGGAAGGCAAAGTCTTAACCACTGGACCAACAGGGAAGTCCCTTTAGTCCCCCCACTTTTTTTTAATGAAGTATAATTGATGAATAATATTGTATGTCACAGGTGTACAACATACTGATTCATAATTTAAGGTTATATTCCATTTATAGTTATTATAAAATATTGGCTCTATTCCCTGTGTTGTACAAGCTATCTTTGTAGCTTATTTTATACGTAATAGTTTGTACCTCTTAATCCCTTTCCCCTATGTTGCCCCCTCCCCTTTCCTCTTCTCAATGGTAGTTCAGTTCAGTTCAGTCGCTCAGTCATGTCTGACTCTTTGCAACCCCATGGACTGCAGTATGCCAGGCCTCCCTGTCCATCACCAACTCCCGGAGTTTACCCAAACTCATGTCCATCGAGCCAGTAATGCCATCCAACCATCTCATCCTCTGTCGGCCCGTTCTCCTTCCACCTTCAATCTTTCCCAGCATCAGGGTCTTTTCCAATGAGTCACTTTTTCGCATCAGGTGGCCAAAGTATTGGAGTTTCAGCTTCAACATTAGTCCTTCCAATGAATGTTCAGGACTAATTTTCTTGAGGATGGATTGGTTGGATCTCCTTGCAGTCCAAGGGACTCTCAAGAGTCTTCTCCAGCACCACAGTTCAAAAGCATCAATTCTTTGACACTCAGCTTTCTTTATCATCCAACTCTCATATCCATACATGACTACTGGAAAAACCATAGCCTTGACTAGACGGACCTTTGTTGGCAAAGTAATGTCTCTGCTTTTTAATATGCTGTCTAGGTTGTTCATAACTTTCCTTCCAAGGGACAAGTGTCTTTTAATTTTATTGCTGCAGTCACCATCTTCAGTGATTTTGAAGCCCAGAAAAATAAAGTCTGCCACTGTTGCCACTATTTCCCCATCTTTTTGCCGTGAAGTGATGGGACCAGATGCCATGATCTTAGTTTTCTGAATGTTAAGTTTTAACCCAACATTATCACTTTCCTCTTTCACTTTCATCAAGAGGCTCTTTAGTTCTTCTTCATTTTCTGCCATAAAGGTGGTGTCATCTGCATATCTGAGGTTATTGATGTTTCTCCCAGCAATCTTGATTCTGGCTTGTGCTTCCTCCAGCCCAGCGTTTCTCATGATGTACTCTGCATATAAGTTAAATAAGCAGGGTGACAATATATAGCCTTGACATACTCCTTTTCCTATTTGGAACCAGTCTGTTGTTCCATGTCCAGTTCTAACTGTTGCTTCCTGACCTGCATACAGGTTTCTCAAGAGGCAAGTCAGGTGGTCTGGTATTCCCATCTCCTTCAGAATTTCCCACAGTTTATTATGATCCACAGAGTCAAAGGCTTTGGCATAGTCAATAAAGCAGAAATAGATGTTTTTCTGGAACTCTCTTGCTTTTTCAATGATCCAGTGGGTGTTGGCAATTTGATCTCTGGTTCCTCTGCCTTTTCTAAAACCAGCTTGAACATCTGGAAGTTCACAGTTCACGTATTGCTGAAGCCTAGCTTGGAGAATTTTGAGCATTACTTTACTACTGTGTGAAATGAGTGCAATTGTGTGGTAGTTTGAGCATTCTTTGGCACTGCCTTTCTTTGGGATTGGAATGAACACTGACCTTTTCCAGTCCTGTGGCCACTGCTGAGTTTTTCAAATTTGCTGGCATATTGAGTACAGCACTTTCACAGCATCATCTTTCAGGATTTGAAATAGCTCAACTGGAATTCCATCACCTCCACTAGCTTTGTTCGTAGTGATGCTTCCCAAGGCCCACTTGACTTCACATTCCAGGATGTCTGGCTCTAGGTGAGTGATCACACCATCGTGATTATCTGGGTCATGAAGTTCTTTTTTATACAGTCTTCTGTGTATTCTTGCTACCTCTTCTTAATATCTTCTGCTTCTGTTAGGTCCATACCTTTTCTGTCCTTTATTGAGCCCATCTTTGCATGAAATGTTCCCTTGATATCTCTAATTTTCTTGAAGAGATCTCTAGTCTTTCCCATTCTATTGTTTTCCTCTATTTCTTTGCACTGATAACTGAGGAAGTCTTTCTTATCTCTCCTGGCTATTCTTCGGAATTCTGCATTCAAATGGATATATCTTTCCTTTTCTCCTTTGATTTTTGCTTCTCTTCTTTTCACAGCTATTTGTAAGGCCTCCTCAGACAGCCATTTTGCTTTTTTTGCATTTCTTTTCCTTTGGGATGGTTTTGATCCCTGCCTCCTGTACAATGTCACGAACCTCCATCCATAGTTCATCAGGCACTCTGTCTATCAGATCTAGTCCCTTAAATCTATTTCTCACTTCTACTATATAGTCATAAGGGATTTGATTTAGGTCATACCTGAATGTTTCAGTGGTTTTCCCTACTTTCTTCAATTTAAGTCTGAATTTGGCAATAAGGAGTTCTGAGCCACAGTCAGCCCCTGGTCTTGTTTTTGCTGACTGTATAGAACTTCCCCATTTTTGGTTGCAAAGAATATAATCAATCTGATTTTGGTATTGACCATCTATTGATGGTAACCACTAGGTTATTCCCTATGAGTCTGTTTCTTTTTTTATTCATTAGTTTGTTGTTATTTTTTTAGATTCTACATATAAGTGATATTTTACAGTATCCGTCTTTGTCATTTGACTTAGATGGTGGTGGTGGCGGTGCTTTAGTTGCTAAATCGTGTCCAACTCTTTTAACCCCATGGACTGTAGCCCATCAGACTTCTCTGTCCAGGCAAAAATATTGGGTTTCCATTCCTTTTCCAGGAGCTCTTCCCAACCCAGGGATCAAACCCCAGGTCTCCTGCATTGCAGGCAAATTTTTTACTTCTGAGCCACCACAGGAGTCCTTCACTTAGGATAATGCCTTCCAAATCCACCCATCTTGTTGCAAATGGTACAACTTCATTCTTTGTTATGGCTGAGTAATATTCCATTATATCACATCTTCTTAATCCATTTATCTGTTGATGAACATTTAGGTTGTTTCTGTACTTTGGCAACTTAACTTCACTTTTAATAAATGTTATTTTCTGTATATTTTTGTAAGTTTAGAAATGTAAACTTGAAAAAAAATGGAGAATGAATAGACTCTTAATCTTAGTCAAAAGGCCAAGAAATGATGAATAAATAAACAAGTAAGAAAATAAAGGAAAAAGATTTCCTGGAGACTAGAAGTGTTTTATTCTCTGTGGATGAAATCAGTGGTAAGGCCATACATGTTTGCTAATTTAGAATAGAACCCAACAGGTTGTTATAAATAGTCATTATTTAAATGGTTAGCAAATGTTCAGACAAGCAGCATATTTAAGGTCAACAGAGAGACTGAACATAATAGAGGTTCTCACAAAGGAAGAAATATCAAGACAGTTGAAGAAGAAAACAACTGTAGATTCAAACCCAGACTTAATGGGCTAAGTGCCATTATACTGGTCACAAAGATTATTGACGGTGGTTCTTAAACTTTAGTAACCACAATAATTAATCACCACAAATCTACCGAAACAAAACTGTATTGACTGGGATTCAGGAGTTTGCATGTTACCAGCTGCCCAATAGGTTCTTCCCAGTTTTGATAATGGGCAGGGCACAGATCATAGCAGTGACTGTGAGACCAGCCTCTGTTTGGTTGAGTAGTATGATTTTTGATTATGCACATAACCCTAGGGTATCCATTACTACCTATTTTTACTGCCTCTCTTTCTTCTACAGTGAGTGTAACCTGAAGGAGTTTTCAAAAATAGGGGCAGAGGCAGGACTGTGGCTGCTAGAAATAGACCATCATTCAGCCCTCCACTGGAGGGGCAGCAGGTCTCGCCACTCCCCCATGATTATTATAGCCTGCAGAATAGACCTGCAGTTGTTTTATTTTTTGTCTCATTTCTTCTCTGCCTCTGTGTCCTCAGGTATGAACTGGCCAGAGGGAAAACATCGGCCTCCACAGAGCTGTGTTAAGAGAGATCGGTATCTGGCTTCTCCCCCGTTTATAGTTTTAATTTTCTTTCTTTCTAGAATATGTCTGTGCTGGAGAATCACCACTGGCGATCTACGATTGGCATGCTTCGAGAATCAAGGCTTCTGGCTCACTTGCCAAAGGAAATGACGTAAGTGACCTAGAGATGAAACATACCAATGTCCACACGTTAGAGATAAGCCGTGTGCTCTCAGGCTTGAGACCCCCGGGGTGAATGGCAGAGAGCCAGCCAGCAGTGCTTCCGGCCCACACTCCCTTAGTCGCCTATCAGAGGAGATGTGGTGTCAGTTACAGCAACCCAGAAACCAGAGTCCCTCTGTCAGCTCTGAAAGGGCCTGGAGAGTGTAGGACCTAATGTCAGGAAAAGAGATAATAAACAGTTCTCAGCTTTCACACTCTTCGGCCTCAATGCTGTGCTTTGCCAAACTCCTGTCTTTTATGTTAGCAAAATTGTCCTCCTGTGTAGATCCAAATAATAAATATTTATCAAGAAGGAACACAGGAGTTCCCAAGTGAGACTGAAGCTTTGTTCAATAAAGGTTGTTTTGTCATTGCCAATCTTAGTAAAAGGAGAAGTCAGAAATTCTGTTCTAAAACTTCTTTTGTTAAGTGACTGAATGGGCCCCAGCCATTTTTTTTCCACCAGGAATTTACCTATGTTTCTTGCATTTTAAACAGAAGTGGAAATACCAGTTTCCTGGTCCACTGTTTGTTAGGCTGAATATTTAGGCCGAGACCTACTAAATGCAAGACCATGGCCTCATTTCCGGCCTCAGTTTACCTGCTGCACCACATTGGCCTTAATTTAGCCTCTGCACTGTCTTCTAAGACCACCACCAATTCCTATCTGTTTCATTCAAATACACAGAACCCAAGGTAGCTAGGAGGGAACAAGTAAATGGATCCCTGTACCATCTTCCAGAGGGCCACCAAGGTCAAGGGCCCCGTGGTATCTCTTGGTTGAGCAGCAGGATGCTCTGGGTGCACTGGTTTACCCCTGGCCTTCTGCTTCTATCTTATGCTGCTTCCTAGCAGCCAGAAGAATGTGAAAATCGTGGAAGGAATTTCAATTCTGATAACACTTTACCCACTGGAACCAAATAAAATCAATCCTCATGCAGGGAATAAAAACTCATGCCTTTTATGAAAACAACACATTGCAAAGATAAAAAGAATTAAGTACAAAAAGAATTAAAATCTAGAGTAACAAATCAAGTTTGGAGGAGAAAGGAGGAGGTGAAGGACAAGGAAGTCAAAGAAAGAGAGGAGAAGGGAAGGAAAGAGAAGGAGACAAGAAAGAACAAAGTGATTTGTTCTTTTGTCAAACCAGATTTGTCCCAGTAACGCCCTAGTAGGTAAAGACTAAAATAGAAATTTCATAAAAAAAAGAAATAGAAATGGCCAATAAACATATGAATATATGTCCAACCTCACTAGTAATCAAGGCAATTCATATTAAAATTACAATGAGTTACATGATATTGGCAAATTGGCCAAAAAAAAAGTGTAAAGGGTAAGACTGTAAAGCAATGAGAAGCTCATCTATTACTGCTTGGAGTGTAAATTTATACAATGGTTTTGAAAATAATCAGCAATATCTAAGAAACTGAACATACTCTGTGATCCAATAATTTTATTCCTGGACATAGTCCCTAGAGAAACTTTGCAAATGTATAATTTGAGGTATGTAATGGTATTTATTGTGTCATTTTTTTCATAGTAGTCAAAAACTAGAAATTATTCAAGTGATCATCAAAAGTAGAATAGATACATAAATTGAAGTACAGTCCTACACTGGGATACAATCTAATCATGAAAATGGATGAACAACAGCTCACACATCAACTCAACTGACCTTCAAAAATATATTAAGCTAAAAAAGCAAGTCACAAACTGATACTTACCACATAACTTAAAGTGCACAAGCAGTTAAAGTTAAACCATAGTATTTAAGCATGCATGCATGGGTGGTAAAATTACTATCAATAACAATTTTGTTATTGATTTTTTTTGTTATTATTTTTTGTTATATATTTTTGTTTTGTTATTAAAACAAAAGTCAAGATAGTAGTTGCTTCAGGGGTTGAGAGGAAGTGGGGTTGGATGAGAGACACAATGAGGACTTTCTGGGGTACTGGCAGGGAACGATTTTGACCTAGGCAGTGATTGTAAGATGTTTATTTTATAATTTATCCCTTAAACTGTTTGTGTATGCTCTGTGCACTCTATCTAAACCTACTTCACTTTTAAAGGTGAATTTTTAAAAATAGATATGGATTTTCCTCCCATTGTTTACTTTCCATATATGAGGAAAGCCCTAATTTGGTTTACTTTTCCAAAACATCCCATTGTCTGTATACCATTTGTTGACCAATATATTGCTTGAACACTGCTTTTTAATGGTATCTTAATTTACTGTGACTCTTTTGTAAGTTCCAGTATCTCTTTCCAGCCTATCCATTTTGCTCCCTTGATGGATCTTTCCATTCCATAGAATCAGTCACTATTATTGGCTTCATTAATATTATTATACCCTTTCTCTCCCCATGCAAGTCTTAAGGTTTGAGTTGGTGTGAGCTCTATAAAATTCACAATCCAAATGCCTGTGATTCTGTGAGTCTTTGTGACCTCCTTCAAGCATACATTTCTCGTTGGCTTCCGATCTTGCCACTCATAGGAACTGTGGGAATGTATAAACTGCCACAACTTTGTTCACCCAAGGTTTCAGTCACTCTGTTCAGTCCGTGGCATACCTCCCATCCAAGGACAGAGTGATGGTGGGTGAGAGAGTCACGCTTGGGCTGCAAGGGACCAGGACTCTGTGTAATCAACAGTATCAGAGGCACAAACAAGAAAACAAGCCACCTGATGATGACAGAACCAATCACTCTGCTCAAAGGGATTTGCTTTGTGTGTGTGTTTTCTCTTTCATTCTTGTGGATGCAGACAGGATATTGAACAGCAGCTGGGCTCCTTGATCTTGGCAACAGACATCAACAGACAGAATGAATTTTTGACCAGATTGAAAGCTCACCTCCACAATAAAGACCTAAGACTGGAGGATGTACACGACAGGCACTTTATGCTTCAGGTAAACAACAACAACAAAAAGACATTATTATCCTTGCTGTAAAACACTAAGGATACAATCAATCATTTTAGCACATCTGAGAAGGAGTATCCCCCGTGGTATAAGCTAGAGCAGTGACCTAGTTTACTAAAAACCTTGAGACACATGAAATTTTTAAGTGGTTTCCAAGCAAGTAAAATCTGGGTTTCAAGTCAGTAAGTTGATAATATCTCATTTTTCCTTGTTTGGTATCTGCTTCACCACAAAGTAGCCCCCCTGGGTAGTTGCATGCAGTAAGAATTTACCACATTTTGTGGCTTGATGCAAAGTTGATCACTATCATACTTTTGCAATGTCGAAAACTATTCCTTTAATACAAAAGTGTATTATGTTAACTATAGTACTAACAAAAATTGAGAAATGAATATCTTTCCTTCACCTCAAGCCTATTTAATTAAATCTTGCTTGACTTCTTTTTACAACCTAAACTCATATTCATCTGAAGCTCAAAGATATTTACCTAGTCTTACCATTATCAAGTACCAATAAATAAATGATTTTGTTTAATTGAATGAACTGAATCATATCAAGCACAACACTTTCTGCTTCCTTCCATGGCAAGAAGCCATTTGTGAAGTGCAGGGAAGAAGTGGATCTTGGAAGGAGAAGTCTGACCTGGTATCCAAACCAGAGCCTTTAGCTTGATCTTCCATTTTCTCTCATCTTCCTTCTTTCCTTTTGGCACAAGAGACTGACTGAGTGGATCCTGATGCATCTAGATAGACCAGCTTTAACCAGGGAAATGGTTAAACCAGGGAAATGGCACATGGGAGACTAAACTATACAGTCTTTTCCCTTCCATACCTTCAGGCTGCCTTCTGAAGTTATCCAACTGCTCTATCCTTTTCAGGAAATGCCCTCCTCCCAGCTGTAAAACTGAATCTCCCTCCTTCTTTCTTCCCAAATTAGACTTCTAGGCCCTGGGTACCACCGACATCTGATTTTAGAGACTCAAATCTTTGAGTAGCTGAAAGATTTGGCCTGGACACTTGCATTCTAAAAGGAAAGCTTGCTAAAAAAAATTTAAAAATAAAAAATAAAATAAATAAATAAAAGGAAAGCTTGCTAACACACATTAATCCCTAAAAGGCAGAAACTGGAGGGGGCTTCTGCCACTGACCTCCTCTAACAAGTATTGGTGCCCCCATTCACCTGAAATAAAGAGCCAACCAAGTTTGCAGCTTAATATGACCCAGGCTCTCCCAGACCCCAACACTGCTAGCAGTTCTATGATCCCAAAGAACTAGGTCAAAACCAGCAGACCTTGCTGATGGAGAGCACACCACCAGAAGCACATCTAGGCGGTGGTTTCTCGGCAGCTGTTTGTTAAGAGGGAGAACCTGCTTCTTTGGAAATTCAAGGGACCCCTCCTAGGGTCAGCATCCCTGACAAAAGCTGGCATCCCAGATGCAGAACTATGTGAGGCAAGCCAAGAAGGCCCAGACTCATCTCTGCTAAGCAAACACTCCTGGGCTTGATACAGCTTAGCTCCCTGGCTGGCAGTCTGAGCTTGCTGACACACACAGATACAGCCATGTAAATGCAAACACACACAGTTTAAGTGATGTATGGAGTCGGCCAGTGTGGTCACTGTGAGGTGAGGTCCCAGTGATCTCACCCGAGCCTGGTTGGGGGCACTGTGGCCTCCCTGCCCACAAGGGGTGGAGCAACAGAAGGAGCCAGGCCACAGCTTTCCTTGGCCTGTCCACTCCAGGTCTCCTCCAGGAAGCCCCATGTCCTTGGACGGTGACTCTTCTCTCCTTCCCACTGCTATAAAGTGGGAGTTCTGAATGAAGGTTTTGTGTGGTGGTGAATAAGTGCTGTTTCCTGAAGAGGCACGTCAGGGAGGCCTCTGTAAATATGGGCTTGGTACCATGAGGTCGAAGGGCAGGTCTGACCGCCCTTGGGCTTGGGGTACATTTGCTGCTCAAGGATCATCCTTTGACCATCTCTCCCTGCTCTGTCACTTCTCAGATTGCCTTGAAGTGTGCTGACATTTGCAATCCTTGTAGAATCTGGGAGATGAGCAAGCAATGGAGTGAAAGGGTCTGCGAAGAATTCTACAGGCAAGGTTAGTAGGGATCCAATTGCTTAGTGTTCATCACCCCCTCTCCTTTTGGGTGTTTATCCTAATAAAACAGGAAATGGATTGTCTATAGTGACATTTGTTACTTCATCAACTCTTATTACCCCACTTTTCTCTTTAAACCTTTTGCATACCATCTGGCCCTTTTTTGGAAATAATTTAAAAATAAATAAGTTGACTTACTATGGAAACAGGTAGTAACGAGGTGCAGTAACATGAGCAATAGAGGGATATAGATAATTTTCATGCGCCTCGAGGCGCAGGACAGTTTGACTTTTACTCTGACCTTCATGTTAATGAGCTGAGCATGGCTTAAAAGCTAAATGCCATTTGGGGTCAATGTTTTCCATTCTGACAGAAGGACTTGGACTCTTTTTGTATTTCTTTCCCTTGCTTTCTGAAAGTGAATAAAGAAATACAGCATATTTAGTCAGAGTTCATCCTCTCATATATATATATTGTGAGAAGACGAATGGTCCCAAGTTAGGGTATAATTTTTAAGAGGTTAACCTCATTCAGAAGTAAGGCAATGAATTAGCAGCAGAATCTGGACATTGGGTGGGTTCTTGGCCTTTAAATATTGCTTGTTTCTTCAGGGCTGGTTTCAGTGCTCAGGATGTTTTTTCAGGCACAACAGTGCCCTGATGTTAGTGACAGGCTCAGGTCTGAGAGGCTGAGAACAAATAAAGCCTGAAGTGTCCCACATAGCAGCTCTGTTAGGAGGTCAAGTAGCAACAGTGAGCCTTTTGGAGACGCCTCTGTAGAAAGATGAGTCCATGACATTGAGATGGTCCCAAAGACAGAAGACAAAACAGAGCACAGTTGGTTCACAGGGGCCTGGAAGGCTCTGCTCCTCATCTCTTTCCCTTGGGTAAAAGCAGCCATGTAGCGTCCATTCTGTACAGCTTCACTGCAAGTGAGTGTGAGTGGTTAGTAATCAAAAGGTCACTTCTAGTTGCCCATGTTACAAGATCACCACAGATGGAAAAACAAAAGGAAACATGATGAACTTAGAGAAGGGAGGTTAGATTAGATAGGATAAATACTTTACTGTAAAATATAGAAAATGTTGAAACAGCCCAGTGAGAGAAGGGCTAGGATCTTCATCCTTGGAAATCAAACAATGGGACAGAGAAAAGATGCCACCCTGTCCCTCTGGGTTTTGACTTGACCATGTGTTCTTGTTGACACTGATTGGAGTTTAACCCTTTCATTTACTTATCTTACACTCTGTGGATTATAAGCTCCTTGGGGCAGGGATCATGTCTCTTGGGCAGAAGGCAAGGCATACAGAAGTTGTTAGCTAAGTGGAGTAAATGGGATCAACCAATAAAGGTAATCTGTAAGATGCCTTTGCAAAAATTTGGCCTCATAATAATACACATGTGCAGCATTATAGCGGTTCCCTGGTGGCTCAGTAGTAAAGAACCAGCCTGCCAATGCAGGGGATGTAGGTTCCAACCCTGGGTCAGGAAGATTCCCTGGAGAAGGAAATGGCAACACACTCCAGTATTCTTGCCTGGAAAATTCCAAGGACACAGGAGCTTGGCAGGCTACAGTCCATGGGGTTGCCAAGAGTTGGACACAACTTAGTGACTAAACCACAACAAGTAGCATTATAAGATAGAACAACCTAGAACATTTGTGATGCTGATCACTAAGGGTGAACTTTCATATACTTTGCTCCATATCATATCTCCTGGCAGAGAAAGGAAAGTATAGGGTATGTCAGGTCCTTTTTAATTAACAGCCTTTTTAATTAACTTCTAACAGAAGTTCAGCTTATTTAAGAGAAGACTAGACTCTCTGGTTATCCAAACTGCTTGTCTTCCATACTGAATTATTTTTTTAAGAAATTCTATAAAGCACTATTTGTATCATTTTGATTCATCTTCTTCCAGCTTTCCATTTAGGATTTGGCCTTCCACAGACTGCTAACAATTCCTGCCAAAGTATCTTTGATGATTTGTGATGTTGATCAAAGGAAAAGCCCAAAAATCAAGGATGAGGACAGAGAGAGAAAGAAAGATGAGATTCCATGAATTAGGAAGACAGTGTTAGATCCTCAGAACAGATGTTACAACTCAAACATCATTCATCCTCTTCCTCTCAATGACTCAAAAAAAGTAGAATTTCTGTCCTATGGTAACAACATATTGGTATCTTCTCAGTCAACCAAGATTCCCAGAAGTTTTCATTGAACATCTGCTTCTAGCCTTGTCTAATCCTCAGCAAAACTGTGATTTTCCTATGTGCAAAGCCCCATTGGGGGGTGTCATGAAGGAGACAAAGAATTAATGTCTCACAAGCTCAGAATACTAATTAGTAAAGTTCCTGGAGGAGAGAAACTGCAATTTTCCTCACTGTATTTTCTACATTAACAAAGTATCTGAAATATATAGTGCTTTATAAATTCATTGAAATAGTTGAAAGAATAAATGATCCAACTGGAAGAAAATCCTCTCATGGTGGAGGTCACAGGAGAAGATCTAGTACTAAGGATGGTAGAATCTGAGCTGGGTATTAAAGGATGTGTAGTGACAGCACTGTCCAGTAGGACAGACACAAGGCACATATGGCCATTAAATTTAAATTAATTTGATTAAATGTAAAATTTAGTTCCTCAGTTTTATCCGTCTTATTTCAAGGGACTACTATAGTGGGCAGCGGAGAGAATATAACCATCATTGCAGGAAGTCCCACTGATCTGGATAGAGAGGAGTGGAAATGGGAAGAGGCATGGGGAAGGGACTATCCCCGTGCCTCATAGACCAGTTTGGTTCCAGAGAAGGTAAGAATAAGAGGATCTGTTGAGGCCCCTGTATACCAGGCTGAAGTAGAGACTATGACAATGGGAGTCGTCTTAGAAAGTGCAATTAGGGCAACATATGCAGTTGAAGCAGAAGAAATACTAAAGAAACTAGCTAAGAAACAGAAAATGAGTTTTTAAGAAACCAGATGAAGATGTGAGATATGCGTATGTATGTGTGTGTGCGTGTTCAGTTGCTTCAGTCGTGTCCGACTCTTTGCAACCCTATGGACTGTAGCCCGCCAGGCTCCTCTGTTCATGGGATTCTCCAGGCAAGAATACTAGAGTGGGTTGATATGCCCTCCTCCAGGGGATCTTCCTGACCCAGGGATCAAACCCAAGTCTCCTGCATTGCAGGCAGATTCTTTACCACTGAGCTACCAGGGAAGCCCATATATATGTGTATGTATGTGTGTGTGTGTGTGTGTGTATATGTATATAATGGAATACTTTAGTTATTGTTGTGTTTAGTCCCTAAGTCGTGTCTGAATTTTTGCAACACAATGGGCTATAGCCTGCCAGGAATTTCCCAGGCAAGAATACTGGGGTGAGTTGCCATTTCCTTTTCCAGAGGATCTTCCTGACCCAGGGATCAAACCCACATCTCCTGCCTTGGCAGGCGGATTCTTTACCTCTGAACCACCAGGGAAGTCCACAATGGAATACCACTCAGTCATAAAAAAGAATAAAATTTTTGCATTTGTGAAAACATGGATAAACTTAGAGGGTGCCATGCTTAGTGAAATAAGTCAAACAGGGAGAGATTAATACTGTATGTTTTCACTTATATATAAAATCTAAAAAATAAAACAAATGAATGAATATTAAAAAAAAAAAAAAAGAAACAGATTCACAGATATAGAGAACTAGAGGCTACCAGCTGGGAGAGGGAAGAGGAAGGGGCAAGACAGTAGTAGGGGATTAAGAGGTTAAAACTACTAAGTATAAAGTAAATAAGATACAACGATGTAATGTACAACATAGGAAATAGCCAATATTTTATAATAACTTTAAATGGGATATAATCTATAAAATTATTGAATCACTATGTTGTACACCTGTAACTAATTTAATATTGTAAATCAACTATTCTTCAATTTGAAAAAAGAAAGAAGCCAGACTAGAATGAGACCAGGGAAAAGAGATATTTCAACAGAGAAATAAATGAGATTTGCTGCCTCAATACAGAGAGTAGAAGGAAGAGAAACTTCCCTCCAAGTGTCATGCTTGACTGAAAAATCCCTATTAACGGAGCTAAGGAGGTAAGGAGTGAAATCGACTTGAGGAGAATTCATTTTGATATTAAATGGTGTCATACCTGTCCTCTCGAGGCCATTGTCACCTGACTTCCCTAAACCCCTCAGGTTAAGCCAAAGTGATTTCCTCACATCAGTTTTGAGAATCACCATGGCCCTAGAGACCATGGGAGCCATGGCTACAGTCTTAGAGAAAATGACAGAAATGTGGCATCTCAAAAGATCGTAGCTCCGTGGTTAAGTGCAGACCTTCTGAACAGACTTCCAGCATTAGAATTTGGGCTCCCCTCCTCATTGCCAGAAGGACTTAAGTCAACAAACTTCTCTATGCTTCATCTCAGTTTCCATATCTTATAAAATTGGGGCTATATTGAGCTTGTTATGAGGATTAAATTAATTAAATAGGTAAAGTGCTTAGAACTGTGCCTGACACACAGTAAACATGGTATAAATATGTGTGTTTTTCTCCTCCAGTTTAGAGGAGTGCATTCACAGCTGTGAATTCAGTGAGTGGTTCTGAGAACCAGCTTCTCTACTGATTAACCAGATTGTTTTTCCCAATGAGAAAATTACCCACAATTTTTCACCTTCAGGAAGAATCAATAAAGTATTTTGATAAAGCTTTGCATGATGTATTTCTCCTTTGGTCTTCTAGCTGACAGAAGCATTATAAAGAAAGATCATCCTTACTTGTATATGTATGACTGAGCCCCTTCACTGTTCATCTGAAACTATCACAACATTGCTAATCGGCTATATCCCAGTAAAAAATATAAAGTTTTTTTTTTTTAAAGGTCATCCTGACCTTTTTACTTTATTTAATTTTTAGTTATACTGAGTAAAATTCTAAGGAGTAAGAATGAAAGAGTCAGACCCTTATTTTGATTAATTTTGTAGCTCTAGAGATACTCTCATATAAGATCTTCCTATTAATAGTTCCTCTTCCTTGTTTCCTGCCTACTTATTATTCCTGGTTGTTCAGGTGAAACCAGATGAGGGTCAGGCAGAGTGAAAGGAGGGAAAAACATAAAACCTGTTTTCTTAATCTGTAACTTCAAACCAGAACTTCCATCTCATATTAGGAAATTGGCCATTCATTTTCCTGTTCATATAAAGTTTTGTTCAAAAGTTTATTCTAATCCCAGAGCATACCTATTAACAATGAGCCTATTGTAACTGATCATTGATACGCTGATATTTTAAATTTTCACAGAAATTACCAGAGCAGGGCAGAGTCAGTCATTGCTAGAGCATTCCTAGCAACAAGGCAAGAAACAGTAATTCCCAGGTAACTCCTTCCAACTAGACCATTAAAAATTTCAAGTTCTACAATACCAATGTGTTTCTTCTTCTTTCTTAGGTGATCTTGAACAGAAATTTGAACTGGAAATCAGTCCTCTTTGCAATCAACAGAAAGATTCAATCCCTAGTATACAAATTGGTGAGTTGAACTCAACTGTAATTTTAAATGAATAATTTTGGCACCTCGGCCAAGAGTCACAAAGAAGATCTACACACAGCTTTTGAAAGATCTTAACTAATCCATGCCTTTTGAATAACTGAATCCAAATAAACACTCTAGTCATGACCTATCTACTAAATAATTATCAATTGAGATGAAAAATTCAGTAAAGTCTTTGTTATAGACCCTTAATAAACAACTGTATTAACTTCGTTGTTTAGAATTGAATCAAAACCAAATGAAGGAAAGTAACAAGATTCAATTACTGGCTGCTGGAGGTCAGATTAGCTCACTCTCTCTTTAGGACTTGAAATGTGGAAAATCTATAGTTTCGGATCCTTCCATTTTGGTCACTACCCTTCATCCTCAATGCATAATTTCAAAGGCTGGGTCCCCAGACTCAGGCCCATAAACACGTGACATGGGGTCCCATGCTTCTTCACTTCAAGATGTATTTTCAGTCTTGTTTTCTTAGGGCCACACTCTCAATTGTCAATTTCAATAAAGTGTTAAACAGTAACTCTAATTCCTTTAAAATAGCTATTCGTTTCTTTCACTTCTTTAAACACTCTGCCAATTCCATCTACATTTAAAGCAAGTCTTTCTTTTCCTTGCAGTTTCCTCCAGTTAAAACCAAACTCAGAACTTGAACTCTTTTACTTATAAACTATGGTCCTGACATATACCAGTTTTAAGTTTTTTTCTGAACTGCCTTAACACAGTTCAGACAGAACTGCCTTAAAACAACTTAAGGCAGTCATGGTGCAGCAAACTTTTGCAAGGCTCAAGGCTCAATGCCTGGAGATTGGGAGGGCACGGGGCACCCAAAAAGATCAATTGAAAATTGAGAAAACCACGCAGTTAGAATGATATGCTTCCAATTACTGAGGGTCAAACTGAATCCATAGTCTCACAAAAGAGTCGCAAAGTCAACCTAAGGAAATAGGAATAAAATTAATCTAGTTTTTAAAAATCTGAAGGGAATATGCAAATATTAAAATAGATATATGGGAACACTGAAATTATTGATAATTTTTTTCTCAATTGCCGTTAATATCATTATGTTTTGTTTACAATTAAACTGATTCCTTCACCTGAAAAAGGGAGAGGGGTGTTGTTATAAAAAGCAGAACCCAGGAAGAATCCAGAGCAGAGAAAGCTACATAATTGCTGGGGAGAGCGAAGGGCAGCAGTATTAACAGAAATGCAACCTCAGCCTCCTTGTATCCAATGCTGTATCTGGTTGGAAATTTTGCAGATGCAATTCAAAGGAAATAGACCCTGACCCAAATCCTAATCCCAGAGCCCAGTTTGTTAAACTCTGGTTAGAAAGGAATTTGCCAGGTACCTGTTAAAGACATTTTCAGTCCCCAGAGAAAAGCACTTACGTTGTTAAGCACACAACCTGGATTTGCAAGACAGACTTGATTTTGGAGATTCTATTCTCTTGTTGTCATGAGAACACACTTATTTTGTCAGATCATATGTCCTGATTTTCAGCTCAGGAAAATGTGGTTACCATAGATACCCGTTTTTAAAATGGGATGAGAATTGAGTGCCTAGGAAAATCCCATGGATGCTACACCAGCACACCAGTAATAAGGAGAAAGAGTGATTATAAAATAACCCTCAGCAGATAAATCTTTCTGTCTCCATTCCACATCTCCCAGCTCTGTAGGTTCAAGGCTGGGAGGTGTGGTATGCAGGGACATATCAGGCTAAACTGGAAAAACCCAGATAGATAAACAGAGTCTAATGGGAGCTGTGGGCTCCAGCCTCCCAAACAAATATTTTTCCAGTGGGTGTGAATAATGCAGGTAGTTCCTCTGTCCTGATTCCCTTGGGACTGAAAATGACCTCTCTTTTTCCTTTCCCAATCCACAATGAGGATTTCCTGGGTGCCGTCTCAGGCTTCGATCTGATTCTCTTTTTAAGTAATTCATATTTACCCAAGTGAAACAAGGATTTAATATCCACCCTTCACCCACCTTCCTCCCCACTCCCATCAAACTCTACCTTTCAAAAAGAAGGTGCTCAATCAAATGAATCTCCAATTGGTGAAACCTATAGAAAGATGGGCTTCCCTGGTGTTTCCAAGTGTAAAGAATCTGCCTGCAATGAGGGAGGCCTGGGTCAATCCCTGGGTCAAAAAGATTCCCTGGAGAAGGAAATGGCAGCCCACTCCAATATTCTTGCCTCCGAAATCCCATGGACAGAGATGCCTGGAGGGCTGTAGTCCATGGGGTCACAAAGAGTCAGACCTGACTGAGTGACTAACAGTTTCACTTTCATAGAAAGATAAGGAATTAGGAATTCCCTGGCAGTCAAGTGGTTAGGACTCGGTAGTCTCACTGCCTGGGGCCCAGGTTCGATCCCTGGTTGGGGAATTAAGATCTTGCAAGCCATTAAAAAAAAAAAGCTAGAAAGATGAAGAAAAATAGGCTTTCTTCAATCCTTGTTGACTCTGAGGCCATCATTTCTCCCCTCCCCCACCTATAACCCTTGAGGAGAGTGATGTGCCCACAGAGTCAGGCTCTGCATTACTTAGTAGAAGAGGGTGAGTGTGAATGTGTTAGTCACTCAGTCATGTCCAACTCTTTGCAATCCCATGGACTGTAGCCCACCAAACTCCGCAGTCCATGGGATTCTCCAAGCAAGAATACTGGAGTGCGTTGCCATTTCCTTCTCCAGGGGCTCTTCTCAACCCTGGGATCAAACCCGGGTTTCCCGCATTGCAGGCAGATTCTTTACCATCTGAGTCAGTTTGCACAAATACAGTGGGGACCTGTGGGACAGCCTCGAATCTAATCATGCAGAAGCTTTGCTTCATGAGAAAAACTGCCTCATGGTGTCTATTCAGACTTCAAAATCACTATCCTATCTCCTATGAGAGGTCTTTATATCTAATGAGTAGAAATATAGAGATGCAACTCCAGAGTAATTTCAAGAAAAAAAATAAGCTGACTTTTTTAATACTGGGTTTTTAAGTATGGGATTTGTAACTTTTTAATACTTAGGGTAAACCTGGTAAATATTCACACCTTAAACTTCAGAATAGTATAACAATATTGCAGACTATCTTTTTAGATATATAATATCTAATATCTCTTAAGATGGAAGATATTCAAAATTAGATATGGAGGTAGTCTAGAATAGCAAGCAAGAGCATTCCAGAATGAAATCTTAATTGTCTGTCTCCCTACATAACCTTATCAAAATGTACACAGTAAGTCACTGGCTTAACTTTTTGCTCCTTAGAGTCAGGTTATCTAACATCGTCTTATAATATTTAAATCATATTTCACATCTAAAGAGAGAATGCAGACACATATACTAACATTTAGAATCAATGCATCCTTTTCTCATCTCCAGAGCATCCTCAAAGACTAAGTATTGGCTGTTTGTCCAATAAAAAGTAATCCAGTCAAGCCTTATAATTCGAATGCCTATAAACACACAGGGAGAGTTGTCAGAAGATTTCATTATGCTGAAAAAACTTGCCTCTCCCCATACCACAGAAGTCCCCTTCTCCCAATACCAATATTTCAAGGGAAATACAATAAAACCTAAATATATCCAAGTTTGTGATGAATCCAATAATTCCAACCTAGACTGGAAATTATCTTTGCTTTAATAAATCATGCTTTATATGGAAAGCACATTAACAGTGAGACGTGATTAGAAAGTTTAACAAGGCTAAAATAATTAAGAGAACAGACATGCTAACAAAGAAGTCTCATATCAACCCATCTTATCTCATCATTCAAGCAGAACTTTTATGCAGGTAAAAATCTGTTTTGAAGACGAAAGAACTTTTTTATTATCTACACCTGGTTGCTTAAAATAATTGAAAGTAAGACAAAAATGTGAAATGATAATCCTGAAGAAATATCTTCAGGGTAAATGTATGAATGAACTCTTCAGATGGTCTAAATCAACAATGTGTGGCTTCCTGGTGTCACTTTCCCTTTCCTCCCCTCCCTCAGCCACTTTCCTTAATTCTAGCTCATTTTTTTAAAAACTTTTTTCTTTATATGTCTTTATCCTTCTTCAGGGCTTCCCTGGTAGCTCAGACAGTAAAGCGTCTGCCTACAATGCAGGAGACCCGGGTTCAATCCCTGGGTCGGGAAGATCCCCTGGAGAAGGAAATGGCAACCCATTCCAGTATTCTTGCCTGGAAAATCCCATGGACTGAGGATCCTGGTAGGCTACAGTCCATGGGGTCGCAGACTCCTACAGGATCCTTCTTCAAATGAAAGTGAAAGTGGTCAGTCATGCCGACCCTTTGCTATAGTCCATGGAGTTCTCTAGGGCAGAATACTGAAGTGGGTAGCCTTTCCCTTCCCCTGGGGATCTTCCCAACCCAAGGATCGAACCCAGGTCTCCCACATTAAAGGCAGATTCTTTACCAGCTGAGCCACAAGGGAAGCCCACGAATACTGGATTGGGTAGCCTATCCCTTCTCCAGTGAACCTTCTTCAAATAGTAATAGCCAATATTTATTGAGTGTTTGCTATATGCCAGGAACTTTCTAAGCATTTCACATGTGTTATTTCATTGCCCTAAACAACTCTACGGGTTTGGTATCCTTCTTAACTCCTCTTTACAAATGCAAAAACGGAGGCATAGAGAGGTTAAATGCCAAGCCTAAGGTGACTTACCTTATGCTCCTAGGCTGAGGGCAGGGACCACATCTTGGAGGCCTCCATACCCCTGGGGCCGAGTGCATCATGGGCCCCATCGTGTGTGTGAGGGAAAAAGAAGTGGTCTTACTGCCCTGCTGGTGATGACGTTGGCCTTGCCTGTTTCAGGTTTCATGACCTACATCGTGGAGCCCCTCTTCCGGGAATGGGCCCGCTTCACGGGACACAGCGCCCTGTCTGAGAGCATGCTAAGCCATCTCGCGCACAACAAAGCCCAGTGGAAGAGCCTGTTGCCCAAACAGCACAGAAGCAGTGGCGATGGCAGCCCGGACCACAAAGGCCCAGGGACCGAGGCCGAGGAGCAGACTGTGGCCGAAGGCGACGCCCCCTAGTGCCCGGGGCCGGCGCCCTGCTCCGCACACTGATTGACAGCCTCCTCGCGCAGAGGCCTCTGGGAGGGCGGATGCTCTGGGGGCTCTTGCTGGTCAGCCCGGCCCCTCTCTGGACGTCACCCAGGACCTCCTCGGAGTCCACCCTCCTCCCGCTCACCTGCCTCCCTCCTTTTCCCAAGTGTACAGAAGCCATCCGTCACCTCAGCATTAGCTGCCGAAATGAGCAACTCCATCCATTCCACGATGAGGGAGCCGATTCCAGGGACCGGCTTGGCCCTGGAGGAGAAGACTAGGGAGTAAGAAAGGGGCTCTTGCCGTGGCCCCTCGGGCCCCGGGTCACACTGGGACGGGTGGCGCTTCCTGAGTCCAGAGCATTTTAGCCCTGGCCGTCGGACTGCTGAGCTGCATGACAAAAACACCAGCATATTTGGAACTCCAAGGACATTGGTCTTAAGTGCAAGAGCACAGGCGAGAGAGAGCGTGAGAGAAAGTACCTTCTATTTTAATAATAATTATTATTATAAAATAATAATAAATCTTTTTAACTTTTCTATTTTGTGCACTAGACAATGGATCTAAAACTCTGGACAAAGATTATTCAACGTACCCAAACGTGAACAGGGGGTTCATTGTTTTGTTACGGACTCCATGCCACTTTGGGTCAGAGATTTGGCATCTTCTCAATTTAAGAAACCACGTGTCCTACCCGATGCGAGGGGAAGGTGCTGCACAGTCATTCCTTTGCACCATTAGTCAATCTGTCTTTTATCAATAACTCAGATTCAGTGACATGTTATTTTCACACCTGTACATCTTTTGTAAATATTAAGCGCTACTGATTCCCATGCCAAAATACATGAGTATTATGGGATTGCTACCTGTATAAACAATGGCACTGTGAACAGAATACTGTTAGTTTTAATACAAGAGAATGCATTTGTAAATATGGTATAGAGTTTATTAATATACTATCGTTTGCAGATAAAGGCCTTAACTTTAAACATCTTTTCATCTTCTGAAAGCTGCCCAACTTCAGTCCTCACAGATGTCCTTCTGAACTGCCTGCCCATGTCCACCTTGATGCTTTCCAGCGAAGGTCACAAACCAAAACTGAATAAAGTCTTTGAGGAAATATTTTGGAAACTTCACATGCATTCCACTTGAGACCATAGTGTCTAATCTATGGCAGCAAGCATGGTTTCCTCAGATGAACAAGACTCAACAAGCCTGAAGTCACTTTCAATACAGCGATGTTGCACTCTGCTTTAACAAGCCAGCTGATTAGCTTGTGTTTCTACGACTCCTGTCATGGACATGGTGGTGTGTCAGCCTCACGGGACACGTAGCAGGTCTCACCAACCTTCCATAACCCTGTCAGCTAACCATCAGGGACTTCCCTGCTCACCTCTAACACCATCATCTGTTCTGGCTATAGTACCAAAGCAGCTTTGGTTTATGGTTGGTGTGAATTTCTTTGGTGTTAATAGTAACTGGACTTTTCTTTTTCTTTCATTTCATATGAACTACCCAACTGTTTAGCAGACATTAACATCATTTAAGGAAAGAAAATATTTCCGTTGTCTGGTAGAGTTTACCTTCCTAGCAGGTTACTGTGGTTAATTATGACTCTAGCTAGCAGAGTCACCTCGGAATTTTGTTGCCATTTTTTCTGCAGACACTTGGCTGGAAAGACAGTTTGTTACAGCATTCTTCTCTAGTCAGCTAAACTCGGCATGTTGAACCTTTTCTTTAGAAGTTCCAGCATAACTAATGTTAGATGAAAATTGGCAATGCCCCATTTCTTTCTATCTTCAACAGTGTAGTAGTGGGGAGAATGATAACATGATTGTTTCTGCTACTATGAAGTTGTTTCGCAAGCTGATAGAACCTCAGCTAACTCTCATTTCCTAAGTTCAACTCTCTTTTTTTTCCCTCCTAACATACAAATGAAATGTGAGAAACTTGACTGGATTGTATTAAGTTCCTGCAGAAAGACCGAGGCTTGCAGAGTTAAGGTTTAGGGTGAATTGGAAAGTTGGTTGTAGTTTCATTAAAGTAGGAGAGATGGTCAGAAGGTACTAAAGCAAGTGTGAAAACCTCATGAAATGGGTGGATTATAAGTTGAAATTATTGATATGGGTAAGAAGGGGAGTTGTGAAAACTTAACAAATTTGGGTTTGTTTGGGGGCTTTTTTTTTTCTTGTAATAACTATGAACTGACATGATTCTTTATGGCTTTAATACTCTGAAGCTCTTAGCTTGGTGAGTCCTCAAAAGAGAACACATTGAATGTATTTCTGCTTCCAAACTCACTTATTTTGGTTTGGTGATGCAGAGGACTTTTGAGTAGTCTATTTCTAATTTTCATGAGATCAAATCAAAGAAAGCAATTACTGAGAAAGATACAGGAAAGATAAGGAAGAAGTCACTGTTTTAGCTAATGGAGCCTATCCTTTGAGTTTAGGAAACAAACCTTGTTTAAACAATATTTATATCATAATTTAAATAAATAAGACTGGAGGCATTTTTCGTAGTTCCAAATTTATAGGACACAAGTATTTTAGGTCTTAAAGAAGAACTCACAGAGAAAACTACCAAATATCTAACCATTAAGCCTATGAAGCAGCTACTAGTACAATAAAAATCTGAAGCAAAATGAGATGTGATGCATAAACTAGTTACATTTGTCTCCTTCCTTCAAGCATATGAGTTCCTAGATCCATTTTTTTTTGTAAAAAAAAAAAAATAATGTGAAAACGTTTGTTTTCTTTTTTCCTGCCTACTGGTGGCTGTCTTGCAATATATCAATAGAAGGAGTCTGATTACTAGTTAAGACACAGCTGTTGGATCATCCGGGGACTTTATCTTCACTTTTTTTTTCCCTTAGACTCTGGATCGTCACTTGCTGACTTTCCAAGTTCAGTGCTTGAGAAGAAAGGAATCAAAGGGTTCAGGTAAAGTTAAAATCAAAAGAGAGAATAGATATCACTGCCAGGCCTGGTGGACAAAGCCTGCTTTTCCTCTTTACAGCACCCACAAACAGTCAGAACCTTTTTCCTGAAACACTGGCCTCCCCATCACTCTCTGATAGTCCGAGTGAACATCCTGCTGTCTTTCTACCTGCCTACGGCTTCCCGCAATGGGACGGGGATCGTGTCCTGCAACACCATCACCAGATAGTGCTTCCTACAAACCACAGACTTGTTTCGTAAACTTTTCTCATGTTGAATCAGATCTGCTCACTGATTTGAACATTGGTTATGAGCTTGTATCTCACTATATTTCTTATGCTTTGTTCTTTTACGCAAACCCTTAAAATTGTGTTGTTTTGTGTACACACGTGAAGTTTGGGGAAAAAACAAACACCTTGTGAGTTTTTGCTCAAAATGTGGCCTAAATATTCATTGGCATGTCTAGATAAACAATTAAAAATAAAGATAATTTCTTTAAAATATCACAATATGAAGAATACTCTGATTTTCACCAGGTAGCATCTTATCAGCCAACCAGTCAGATTCAAGGTCAAGAACACTGCTGCAGACATGACTCGTGTGACTCATTCCACTGGATGCTACAGAAACAGCTGTGTCCATAACGCTATCACTTGCCAATTAGGGGGAAAGGGCCATCATTCAATTCTGCCTTTCCCCTGAGTCCTGATAGTTTTCTGATCCACATTTGTCAAACTCATATATGAATGAGAATAATGTACATTGCTCTAGGTTGTGGAACCATAGCAGACTTACTTGTGAAAAATATAGTCTTGTATTTCAGGATTGGAAGCCACCAAGAACAACAGAAAATTTCAGGCAAGACAACTGAGTGTCTAAATCTATCTGGAAAGAGAGGAGGAATGAAAAAAAAAACACAAAAACTACCCATTTCCAAGAAAAAGTGTTGTATCTTTATTTATCCCTCTCATATCTATTTTGTTAAGATTTGTATTCAGAATCTCACTGATTCTGTAATGTTTCCCATGTCTGAATGTAAAGTCACTTTTTTCATTTGTCAACACTCAGAGTCATCCAATCAAAATCAAAAGTGAGACCACAGTGGTTTTCCAAGTAAAAGTCAGACATAACTTTCAAATGTACCCAGGAACCTAGCAGAAACATCGTCAAATAGACCAAGCCTATATGAGCAACTGAATTTAATTCAACAAATATTGATTGAGGATCTACTATGTGCCAGAGGTTGGGCTAGACACTTGGGATATAAAAAGACCCAATCTGGGACTTCCCTGGTGGTCCAGTCGTTAAGACACCAGACTTCCACTGCAGGGGGCATGGGTTCGATCCCTGGTCAGGGAACTAAGATCCTACATGCCATGCAGTGCAGACAAAAAATAGAAAGAAAAAAAAAAGACCCAACACTTTCAGGAGCATTCAGACTTGTGTCAAAGATTTGCATTACCAGTGAACTCTTCTGAGATTCTGTGCGAACATCCGTGAGAGATGGACAACAACGTAAGATCGTGCAAATGAGATTGGAAGGCAAAAGTGGTCCCAATCTTGATTCTGTCACTAACCTATTCTGTGACTTCAGGCAAGTTACTCTCTCCAAAATTATTTCCAGAAAATAATGGTTTTGTTATGGTCCAGGAAGATTCCACATGCTGCAGGGCAGCTAAGCCCGTGCATCACAACTCTTGAGGCCCACACGCCTAAAGCCCATGCCCCCCAGTAAGAGCAGCCTGTGCACGGCAACGAGGCGTAGCACCCGCTTATCTCAGCTAGAGGAAGCTCATGCACAGCAGCGAAGACTCTGTGCAGCCAAAAAGAAACAAATCAATTTTTTAAAGCCTTTAAAAAAAACGAAAGAGATTGCATGCAAAAAGCACCCAGCACACTGTCTGGTACGTGGTCAGCTTTTAATAGATGCAAGCTCTCTCCTCTTAAATTATCAGACACTTCACAAATAGCCACACATGGGTAAGAATGTGGATAACATATGGGGAATAATAATGTAGTAAAGAATGCTAGTGATCTTACACTGGGAAGTTACTCACTCCTGTGTTTTTTTACCTCTTTATTGGCAAAATTGTTAAACGAACAAACAGAAAAAGACTGTGATGAAGCCTCTTGCCTTAGCTACAGCCTACTTTTCTGTTTAGTCCTCTATATTCTAGAATAGAAGTTAATGTATCTGTTGTTAGCAGTTTTGTCAGAAATTTCTGTGAAGGAAACAGCTCCAAAGAACAAAAATGAGAGCCATTTATATACATTGCATCTATGCCACTGAAGTCCCACATCCGGCTAGTGATGGCTCTGGTCCTTTGCGTCAGTCCCCAAAAGTTTGCTGGGTTTTCATGGGCTTTGTAGAAACAGGCATGGACTGGTGCTTCCAGGCTCACTTGATTCACTCACTCACACACCTCCAAATGTGTTCTCAGCTAAAGCTTATTGTCTGTCCCAGAGCAGGCCAGAAAACAGAGGCATTTCCTAATAACATGAAGAAGGGAGAAGGCTCCGTCCTGCCTCCATAGGATTGTGAT